GTGTGTGTGTGTGTCTGTGTGTGTGTGTGTGTGTGTCTGTGTGAGTGTGTGTGTGTGTCTGTGTGAGTATGTGTGTGTGTGTCTGTGTGAGTACGTGTGCGTGTGCGTGTGCGTGTGAGTGTGCGTGTGCATGTGCGTGTGCATGTGCGTGTGCATGTTTCTTTCTAGTAATGCTGGGGATCAAACCTAATGTCTCACACAAGGCTGAGCTATGGCCTTGGCCTTGGCCTTGCCTATGGTATGCGGTTGCATATGTTTAGGAATCTTGGGTTTTGTAAGAGAGGTGACCCGTAAACATGTGTTTCTGTCTCCCCTTGCAGAACTTAGTTCACTGGCATCCACCAGCTGAAGATATTCTTTGTGCAAGGTTCTGTTCTGGGTGCCATGGAGACTTTCCAAGGAAAGGAATTGGAGAACAAGTGTTATTTACCCTCTGAAAATAGCAGGCAGTGGCTGAGAAAACACAAGAAGAGGTGGGGCAGCATCAGGCTGTATCCAGGCCACAAGGATTGAGAGAACTTTCTGTGGTGACCTCTTTTATGAAGAAGGCAGAGACCCAGCCACCTTTATTCAAATCATATTGTCCTCAGACACCAGGAACACACTCACACAGAGGAAAAGGCTCAGAGAAGTGAAGTGATTGGCCTGCCTCAGGAGGAGACCACAGGTGGAGAGTCAGAAGATCTCTCTGGGAGTAGGTGCTGGGAGCTCCCTGTCTGGACTGGTTGGAGGAGAGCTAACAATGTGTGTGTGTGTGTGTGTGTGTGTGTGTGTGTGTGTGATGTGGTGCTTAGGACCCTTCTACCTTGTCAGTTTCAACAACCTGGAGTATTCTGTTCCCAAAGGCTAGAAACATTGTTGCTTCTTGCATATGTGAATGCTGCTGATCCCAACTTCCCCATTACAGATAATTAGAAACTCAAATCATTTTATAGCTTAAAAAATTTCACATTGGTCTTTTTCTCAGAACACATTCATGATTACAGCACTTGGAAAGCATGGCTCTTCCTGTTAAGAGTCAGCATCTAAGAGCTAGAAAGATGACTAAGTACTTAAGAGCATGCCTGCTCTTCCAGAAGTTCAGTTCCTGGCAGCCACCTAGCAGCTCACAATCACCTGTAACTGAAGTTCTAAGGGATCCAGTGCCTAATATGCCCTATTCTATCCTCTTTAGATACCAGGTACATATTTACTCACAGGCAAAACACTCACAAGCATTTTTAAAAAGGCAGGATCTAGGGACTTGCTCTCAAAAAAGGCCTTCTTCAAACCTGCCTATTACCATCAGAAGAGGCCCCACAGTCCTCCCTAGTTTTGTGGGCACACACACATATAAAAACTCAGAGAGAGAGAGAGAGAGAGAAGAGAGGTGACAGATAAAATTCCCAAGTCACCTCATAAGCACTTTTCTTTAGGTGCTCTCTGATTTCCTGTCCTGTTGGCTGTTGAACAGCAGTGACTGAGGCAGCCCCATAAACCACATGTGACAGTTCAGGACAGGAAAGGGAAATCCATGTAATTAAGCCACTTTTGTGTGTGGCGGCTTCGGGGCAACAGATGCGTATCAGACTGAAGTAGACTGAGCACTTTCCACACTGTCACATGTCACCTGCCTTCATTTTATACTCATAACATTTCTATTTCCCTCTTTTGATCTCTACTTTTGAGTTTGCTGTTACTTTCCTGGACTGGCACTCTTCTTTACTTTACTGGACTTCTGACTCACAGCTGGCCTCCTTTGATGGCATGAGCTCTCTTGATGTGGAACCTAGACCACACAGTGGAGGAGAAAGGAGAGTAGACTCAAAGGCAGATGGTCCAGCTCTTTTCATACCGGGGGCTTACACAAACCCTCTGTCCACTGATAAAACCTGCAGCCAAAGCAACCTCCAAGGATGAAAGAAAGGACAAAAAGAAGGCTGTGTGTAGTTCCCTGGCCTAATGCTGGATAGCTTCCCCAACCTCTCATTTTAAGGTTTGATCATACAATGAAGGCAACTGGCTAAGAGTGTATACCTTGGAAACAGAAGAAATCTGGTTTGAACCTGAGCCCTGCCATGTATACCTAGTGTTATTGTGGGCAAATTAATAAAGTCTCAGTTTTTTTTTTCTCCTGTCATATGGGTCATAGTATAATCCTAATAGAGCAGCTATGAGAGTTAAAGAAAACAATGTGCCTCAAGTATTTCACTTATGCCAAAGGGTATGCATTTGTTTGTTAGCTATAATGACGGCCTTTCCACATCCGCCTCCCTCCGCTGTAGTGGCTCTCTCTCCCTATTCTCTGGGGGAATTCCTTCACAGTCATTATAGCCAATGCCCCATGATACCTTCCAGCTCCTTGAGCCAAGCAATCAACTTCTACCTCATTGTATTACTGATAAGACACACATCTTAATTCTATCATCCTAGTAGAGCCCACTTGACTGTTTAAATATCCCCACCTCACTGGGAACACAGTCCATGTATTTTTGCTTAATTCTAGGTACTTAGCAGGAAGTAGGTTCTCACGTATGAATATATCCTTGACTTCATTCAACCTAGCTCTCTTCTGGATTAGGACTGTGCCATTAATTTTTTCATTATGTCTTGCTGATCAATTGTCCTATCAAGTTAATTTAAATTGAAGCCTAATTGGCATTGCTGGTAGCCTCAAAGTCAGTTATCTCAACATGGTCATCTACAGATAAACATTCTCTATTGAGAATGCTCTTGTCAAACATTTCTTCATTCTTTCTTGGACACTGTTAGCAAAATGCAGTTTAGGAGATATTAAAAACTGGGGCCCAGAAAGATGGCTCAGTGAGTAAATGTGTTTGCCACCAATCCTTATGATCCCCAGAACACAGAGTGAAAACAAAACCCGCTCTTGAAAGTCGCCCTCTGACCTCCACATGCATGGTGTGGTATGGTGGGGGGGGGTATAATTTTTTAAAACTTCAGTAATTGAAAATAATTGGTTTTGTAATAAGGAACAAGTTGTTCAATTATTTATTTATTTGTTTGTTTGTTTTGGTTTTTCAAGACAAGGTTCCTCTGTGTATCTCTGGCTGTCCTGGAACTCAATCTGTAGACCAGGCTGGCCTCAAACTCACAGAGATCCGCCTGCCTCTGCCTCCTAAGTGCTGGGAATAAAGGCATGAGCCACTACTGCCTGGAAAGTTATTCAATTTTTAAAGGACAGATCAGAATTATGGGAATACTTTGGCTGGGGTGTTGCTCAGCATCTGGCACATGTTTAGCTTGCATGAGGCCCTCAGTTCAACCCCTGGCATTGCAACTAAAACCTTAGCATGTTAATGAAATTCTTACTTCATAAACTTTCTTCATGTGCCTAATTGCCTCATAGTGATAGTGGAAAGCACATTCCTATTACAAACAGTCCACATTTAATCAGTACACCCACTTTGGTGGCCTATTTTAAGTCTATTAGATCTAGTTGTCCTCAAAATATATGAAAAGGAGTGAATGAATGTGCACTGGTACACACTCATGCACACCACACACACACACACACACACACACACACACACACACACACACACATTCACCTTTAAAGAAGAATGATAGTACCATTCCTTTTAAAACTTAATAAAAGACTGGGGCTGGAGAGATGGCTCAGCAGTTAAGAGTACTGGCTGCTCTTCCAGAAGATCTGTGTTCAATTTCTAGCACCCACATGGCAGCTTACAACTATCTGTATCTACAGATTCAGGGGATCTGACACTTTCTTACCAATGCACATAAAATAAAGTTAAATCAATTATTTTTTAAAAACCTTAATAAAGGAGTCTGGTCACAGGCAGCCTTAATCAGTACAAAGCATTTGTGAGAGAGATTTCAAACAGCAGATATTAAGATAATAAAATACCTCGATGCAAACATGATGCATTCCTCCAGCCTTGTTCTTCTGCAGGAAGCCTGCGATTGGACTGTCACTTCCCAGTGGGTGAAGCAGTTCCATCTTGGTGTTTCCCAGGTTGACGAAAACAACAGATACTCCATGTTCTGGAAGTGGGACTGCCTTACTTACCTGGGCCCCTAGAACATCCCTATAAAATGCCGAGGCCTTTTCCAAATCTGGCACTGCTATGGCCACATGATTGAGCCGGCCCAGGTTCCACACAGGACCTGACACGTGCTGCAGGGACTGTGATGTGGAAAAATTTTTCCCTGAGACAACTGGAGTTTGGACTCTGGAGAAAAGCCCTTGAAAAAAAAAATCGAATGGCCATTAATATCTCTGTAAAATGCATATACTGACATTCACAGCAACAATATTCCCGCAGGAAAACAATGGGCTATCATCCAACTTTATTGATGCTATAACACAGAAGAACCTCTGCACACATCATGCTAAATGATAAGAGCTGAACATAAAAGTCATACACAGTCTGTCCCCCTTATCTCAAGCATCGGAACAGCTCACAGCAGAGAGAGTAAGGCTGGAGAGAAGGGAGAATAGGGATTGGGGTGGTTTGAATGAGAGTGGCTCCCATAGGCTCATATAATTGAATGTTTGCTCCCCACTTGGTGGAATTGTGTGGGAAGGATTAAGAGATGTGATCTTGTTGGAGCTATGTCACTGGGGATGACAGAAGTCCACACCATTCCTGGTGTCTGTTTCTCTACACCCCATTTTCTGATAAAGGTGTAAGTTCTCAGCTGCTGCTCCAGTGACATGCCTGCCTGCCTGCAGTCATGCTTCCCCCATGAGGGTCATGGACTCACTCTCTGAAACTATAAACCCCTTCTTCCTTCTACAAGTTGCCTTGACCGTGGTGTCTTCATAGCAATAGAAATGTAACAGAGACAGGGAATTGTTTCCTTTTGGGTTATGAAAACATTTTGCAACATGATAAAGATGATAGGTGTACAACATGGTGAATAAAAGACTGTATATTTTCAATAGTTACATGAACTTTATAAAGAAGGAAAAGGTATGATTCTGCAACATCTTAGTTAGGGTTTCTATTACTGAGACAAAACACCATGACCAAAAAGCAAGTTGTGGAAGAAAGGGTTTATTTGGCTTATACTTCAGCATTGCTATCCATCACTGAAGGAAGTCAGGATAGGAACTCAAACACAGCAGGATCCTGAAGGCAGGAACTGATGCAGAGGCCATGCAGGAGTGCTGCTTACTGGCTTGACTACTGTTTCAGAGGTTCAGTCTATTATCATCATGGTGGGGAGCATGGTGGCATGCAGGGAGATATAGTATTGGAGCTGTAGCTGATAGTATTAAGTCTTGTAGGCAACAGAAAATGCACAGACACACTGGGCAGTATCCTGAGCATAGGAAACCACAAAGCCTGCCCCCACAGTGACACACTTCCTCCAATGAGGCTATACCTACTCTATCAAAGTCACACCTCCTAATAGTGCCACTCCCTATGACATTATGAGGACCAATTACATTCAAATTATCACATGCCAATAAGAGTCTGTGGATAAAATTTTGTAGACCAAACAATTTGGAATAAAGAGTTTAAAAATAATGTGATCCCCCAGGTTTTATTGAGGTATGAATGACAAGTATAAATCATAAATTAAGATTTATAATTTATAAATGTATGTTTAGAATTATAGCTTATAATTTATATTTTGTAATTTATAATTATAAATAAAGTATAAATGCTGAACATTTATAATGTGATATTTTGATATTCGTATATCTTATGGATTACCACATCAAGCCAAGTGTGTGTGTGTGTGTGTGTGTACAAGTTCACAAAGGTCAGAGAATGAAATCAGGTATCCTTCACCCTACCCTTGTATGTTTGCTTTTGAGTCAGGTCTTGCTCACTGATTGGCTAGGCCGGCTGATCAGTGAGCTCTAGAGATCTGCCTGTGCTCCTTCCCCAGAGCCACAACTAGGACCAATATGTGCAATCATGCCTAAGTTTTTTTTGGAAACAATTTTATACATTTTATTTAAATAAAACTATTTTATACATTTTATTTAAATTAGAAACGATCTAATTTCCTTCTCCTTCCCATCAAAATCTGTCAAGTCATTTGGGGCAGGGCCTAGGCTCTCCCCCTATGGCAACTCTTGTAACACAGTTTGTCCAACAAGCCCACACCTATTCTGAAAAGGTCACACCTCCTAGTTGTGCCTCTCTAATAACCAAACAGTCAAATATGAGCCAATGGAGGCCATTCCTGATCAAACCATCACATATACATACCAGAAAGTCTCAATTTAACACCAAAGAAGACAGCCTTATATCTTTGTACATGGAATGCTCTAAATTCTGTGGGAACTCCTTCGACCATAAGACGAGGTAGGTGCAGCTGGGGCAGAATTACATACAGCTGGCAGGGAGGCACAGGCTAGAGTGGCTGAAGTCTCTGGTTCGAAGTCAAGTTAGATGATCCTACTCATCCCAGGGTTCTAGGAGGCTCTTAAACTGAAGAGGAGGGCATCCTAGGATACACATAGGAAGCCTAGTTTCAATTCAATAATAAAATAAATAAGTTCTAAAAGGATGTATCCCAGCCTGTGGGATTAGAAGGTAGCAGGATGGCCATGAATTCTAGGTCATCTTTGGTGTACATAGTATCAGGCCAACCAGACTATATAGGAAGATCCAGTCTCAAAAAAAAAAAAAAAAAAAAAAAAAAGACAGCAGTCAATTTAGGTCCAACACCAGCTGTCACCTCTAGTCCATCATCAGCTGTCACCTCAAGCCCAACACCAACAGTCACCTCAAGTTCAATGCCAGTGGTCACTTCATGGTGGAGTCAATGTCAGTACATCCCAGAGTAAGGAGAATACACCGCCAGGAGGCCCTACCAGCATCCTGCCTGAAGCCCACATTTATACCAACAAAGTGATGCCCTCATTCCAACTCTGCCTGTACCCTGACCTTAAGGACCCCAAGTATCCCCCTGAGGGCAATAAGATGGTCCATTTTGGTTGTTGCCAGGACTCTGCCATATATGGGCTCCGGCCAATCTTGAGGTCTCACAAATGCCTCTAGTACTTCCCGTTAAAGAAGCTAGAAACAAGGACGACTCATATTCAACATTATTTGGGGGGCTTTTGTTTTTTTCTAAGTTTTTTTAATTTAAATTTAAAACAATCTTATTTTACATACCAATCCCAGTTCCCTCTCCCTCCCATCTTCCCACTCCCTCTACTGACCCCCCCATGCCACCCCATCCCCTCCTCAGGGAGGGTGAGGCCTCCCATGGGGGAATCATTAAAGTCTTTCACATCATTTGGGGCAGGACCCAGACCCTCCCCCATGTATGTAGGCTGAGAGATTATCCCTCCATAGGGAATGGGCTCCAAAAAGTCAGTTCATGCACTAGAGATAAATTCTGGTTCCACTGCCAGTGGCCCCATAGACTGCTCAAGCCCCCCACCAACTGACATCCACATTCAGGGGGCTTGGTTTGGTCTTATGCAGGTTCCCCAGCTTGCAGTCTGGAGTCCGTGAGCTCCCACTTGTTCAGGTCAGCTGTTTCTGTGTGTTTCCCCAATATGGTCTTGACTGGAGGACCCCAAGAGAGACATAAATGGACACCCACCCAGAAGGGGAAAGGGACAAGATCTTTTGAGTAAATTAGAAGCCTAGGGGAGGGGGGGAGGGAGATGGAAAGAGAGGAGGGGAGAAGGGGAGTGGGGAGAAGAACATGAGAGATCAGGAAGGTCGAGTTGGGGGAAGAATAGAGAAGGAGAGCAAGGAAAGAGATACCTCAATAGAGGGAGCTGTTATAGACTTCAGGAGAAATCTGGCACTAAGGAAATTCCCAGGAATCCACAAAGATGACACCAACTAACCATCTAAGCAACAGTGGTGAGGCTACCTTAAATGCCCTTCCCCTATAATAAGATTGATGACTACCTTAAATGCCACCATAGAGCCTTTATCCAGTAGCTGATGGAAGCAGAAGCAGAGATTCACAGCTAAGCACTGAGCTGAACTCCTGGAATCCAGTTGTAGAGAGAGAGGAGTGATGAGCAAAGGGGTCAAACCATGCCTAACTTTTTTACATGTGTGCTGGGGGTCAGCCCTCAGGCCCTCATGCTTACAGGCACTTTACTGGCTGGGCTATCTCCCCAGCCCCAAGGTAACTTTGTAAAGATGTGTTTATTCTGACCCTCAGAAAGTCACAACTCTAGTTGTAGGTTTCTCTGCTCCAGCTCAGAATGTATAACGGTTTCAGTCCTCTGACCTCCAGGATGTTTAATTTGTCATTACTCCATTAAGGAAGCATTACTTTGCTTGAATAAACTACAATGCATAATTATCTATTAATAAACCAGTAGGACACTAATAAAACAAAAGGGTTAAAAACAGGAGTGCAAAAAACAGGAGATAGAACATGGTAGTATAAAGGGGAATAATGGAACGGAAGGGTTAAATTGAGTGGGGATAGGAGGGAATATGGGAAGGGATAATTAACACTAAAGACCATATGGAAACGTACTCCTGTAGAAGCGCGCGCGCGCACACACACACACACACACACACACACACACACACACACACACCCCTCATTTAAATGGAGTCACCCTATAATGGGGCAACAATGCCTCTATTTGACACACAGGATAACAAATAAGAAGCCCAGTGCCCACTGCCAAAAATGGGCTACCTCTTTTGAAGTAATTAGGCTAACAGATATCATAGAGTCCCCAAACTACAAGCTATTGCCAATGCTCTTGGTTACCCTCCAGAACTCTTATTGCTGATGACACCACATATTTAAGTAACAGAACATAAAAGAAACAAAGCTGGTACTCACTGGAAGCTTCATCATGGCTGTCTTATCTTTCACTGCTATAGGGGCTATGCACACTGCTGGAGGAGTAAAGTAATCACCAGCCTTACCTTACTGTGATCCACGACAGCTACAATCACCAGGCTGACAAGACATGCCCACTGGTGCAACAGTGGCACAAACGTCATGAGAATAACCGACAACTTTCTGATGGGATTTAACGGCCCACTTCACAAGCACCACTATCAATGCATAAAACTGAGACTAGACGGGTCATAGTCCCTAAGGGAGAACTTTCTACTATCACTCTGCTAAATGGGCCTAGTATTAAACTGACTTATTGTTTGCTTGTTTGTTTGTTTGTTTTTTCGAGACAGGGTTTCTCTGTGTAGCTTTGGAGCATATCCTGGCACTCGCTCTGTAGACCAGGCTGGCCTCGAACTCAGAGATCCTTCTGCCTCTGCCTCCCAAGTACTGGGATTAAAGGTGTGGGCCTCTACCGCCCGGCTTAAACTGACTTAATGACTTATTATATCCATAGATTAGTGTATCTCCCAACGCTGATGAGGGAAGCTTCAATTTAAGTAGATGGTAATTAACACAGAGACTTGACACTGGTCAAAGTACAGAAAATAGATCTCAGTCCTAAATGAAACATACATGTATGTATGTATGTATGTATGTATGTATGTATGTATATATGTATATCGAATTTCCTCCTCTAAAACTTAAGGATTACTGTGGAAGAGGGGACAGACAGAGTTTAAGAACTAGAAGCTGTGGATGATTACAAGGAACACAGCAGTGCAGCCTCATATATGAAGTCAGAGCAGTTATGACAACATGCAAAAGACGTGCAAAAATTCAATCCAGACAGAATCCCAACATGGAAAAAATAGTGAGCATGAAGTCCCACCTCTAGCTGATGAGCTACTGGCCACTGACGCTGGTAAGAGAGGGAGAATCAGTTTTCTTCAAGGGTGTCACCCTGGGTAGCGAGACACACACACACACACACACACACACACACACACACACACACACACACACACACACACACTTCAGTGGTATGTCATGCAGCCTCTTGCCTCTAATTCCTAAATATTAAGATTACAGACATGATCCACCAGCCTCTAACTCACTTCTCATTCGGGAAGATTTATCAAGAGGTACGTTTTAGAAATGGTTGAAAGTATTCAGGTATTTTCTGACTACTAACATTTTGATGGAGTTTTGCTGCTAGAAAGTATTAGACACACACCACTATATTTGCTTTTTGGTAAAGGAATCAACAGTACAGTCTTTCTGAGTTAGTCTGTTGCTTATAACCCACACAATAAAACAAAGCTGCTGTGACTCACATTTATCACTTGGGGACTTTTCATATACCAATAGAAATGGAAACTAAACAATAAGTCTGCCTTTGGGTAAGCTATAAAGCAGCTCCCCACAACGGATGCTATATGCCCCAGTTTCCAGGAGCTCTCCATGTCTTGCCAACTGCTAGGATTCATCTTCAGTGGAGGGCAGACTTGGATGGGTAAATTAGGTTCTGCCCTTTCCCAAGTACAGACATATGGTTTTATTGCATTGCTTTATTTATTAATCAATGCTATTATGAAATCTTACCAAATGTGCAGTCCTTCCAAACTACATTGTGAAAGCACAAATGCTGAAATATGAGGGGGCACAGTATGGCAGCCTGACTGCCTTTTAGTCTACATGGCCATAAAATAGAGGTGAGGATTCAGGTACACTGAATACCTTATGTTATTTAATCTTTACCATGACCCCATAGGATGGATATTATGGCCTCCATTTTCAGACGTATGGAATTAGGCCTATAGAGATTAGGTTCTTTTCCTCAACATCACTTAAGTGGCAAAGCAGAGCTGTTGTAGAATATTATTTCAAGATGTGTTGCATTTGTTTATGCTGCATTTGCTTAACTCTGTGAAGCTGTGATTCTTTGCTTATCTAAAACACTTGATGGCCTAATAAAGAGCTGAACAGTGGGCCAACAGAGAAGCAGAAGAAAGGATAGGTGGGGCTGGCAGGCTGAGAGAATAAATAGGAGAAATGAGGAGGAAAAGGAATGAGGGAGAAAGAGAGAACAAGGAGGAGGATGTCAGGGGCCAGCCACCCAGCCACCCAGCCACCCAGCCACCCAGCCACCCAATCACGCAGCCACCCAGCCACCCAATCACGCAGCCACCCAGCCACCCAGCCACCCAGCCAGCCACAGAGTAAGAGTGAAAGTAAGACATATAGAAGTAAGAAAAGGAAAAAACCCAGAGGCAAAAGGTAGTTGAGATAATTTAAGAAAAGCTGGCAAGAAATAAGCCAAGATAAGGCTGGGGCATTTATAACCAAGAATAAGCCTCATGTGTGATTTATTTGGGAGCTGGATGGTGGGCCCCCCAAAAAGCCAAAAGAGCAAAAAAGACAAAGAGCCAAAGAGAAAAAACAGAACAACACAGAGCCTTGAGCCTAGGTTTGTCAGACATCAGAGTTGATGTTGGGAAACTACTATGTTTAACTCATTCCTCCACAACTCCTTCCCTTTCCTTTTTGTTCCATGGATGGGCATCAAACCCATGGCCTTGCATATGCTAGACAAGTACACTCCATGGAACTATACCCGGAGTCTTTCACAACCCTTTGCTTCTCACACACACACAAAAGATTTATTATTTCATTTTTGAGATAGAGTTGAAGGGACACTAGCCTATTCAATTATGTGGCTCTGGCAGGCCTTGTCCTTCCTTCATCCCATTCTCTCTGCCTTGAAAAAAAAAAAAAAGAGGAATACTCCCTGAGCCAAGACACACGGGGGTGGGCCTAGGCCCTATCCCAAAGGACACGATAGACTCTGATGACCCCCTATGGAAGGTCTCACCATCCAGGGGGAACAAAAAGGATATGTGATAGGTAGGGTTTTAGTTGGGGGAGATGGTAGGGGAGGAGGGGAGAGAGAGGGAATTGGGATTGTCATGTAAAATAATCTTGTTTCTAATTCAAATAAAAAATCTGCAGGAAAGAAGGAAGGAAGGAGGGAGGGTAGGTAGGTAGGTAGGTTAGGTCACATTCCTAAGGCTTGCCACCAAGTTCTAATCTCTTATTTGGCCACTTCGTCCTCCTGAGGCTGACTACCAAGGTCCAGCAATGAGAAGCCCCCTTTGGCTCACCTAATTAACATGTCCAATTAAAATAAAAACACCTCATCCTAACCTGGGGTTTCCCCCTTCACCTTTATAAACTGCCTTTTGCCTGTGAGCCACATGTGTCTCCTCTCTATCCAGTGGCAGTCCTTTGTCCCTCCAGGACAAACATCCCTTGTCCCCTTCCCCTTCTCCCTGGTTCTCTATTTCCTTTACTACTGCACCCTAGCCCATTCTAACACAGACCTCCTCTTTTCTTCCTCTTAAAAATGACACTTAGCAAGTCATCTAGTAGCAAGGTCATCTGCTACTGCTTTTCTGCCTGAGTCAGAAAGCAGTACTTTAACTTTTCTTCCTTGTTTAACAAAGGGTCTCTGTGAAAACAGGTGTTTGGGTGTGGTTTGTGCTGAATCTGGGGTCTAGGAGTGAGCCCCCGCTGTGCAGGAGTCCCCTTCACATGTATCTTAGGTTGGTCTCAAACTGGGTCTCAAGCTGTCGGTTTCTATTGCTGTGAAAAGACACCATGACCATGGCAACTCTTTTTTTTTTTCCCCCTGAGACAGGGTTTCTCTGTATTGCTTTGGAGGCTGTCCTGGAACTCATTCTGTAGACCAGGCTGGCCTCAAACTCACAGAGATCTGTCTGCCTCTGACTCTTGAGCACTGGGATTAAGTATGTGCACCACTAATGCCGGGCATGGCAACTCTTATAAGGAAACATTTAATTGAGAGGGCTCACTTAAAGTTTCAGCATTGGGTCCATTATCCCATTATCAGCACGACAAGGTACTGGAGAAATAGCTGAGAGGTCTACATCTTTTTTTTTTTTTTTTTTTTTTTTTTTGGTTTTTCGAGACAGGGTTTCTCTGTGTAGCTTTGGAGCCTGTCCTGGCACTTGCTCTGGAGACCAGGCTGGCCTCGAACTCACAGAGATCCGCCTGCCTCTGTCTCCCAAGTGCTGGGATTAAAGGCATGTGCCACCAATGCCCAGCGAGAGTTCTACATCTTGCAGGCAAAGAAAGTTGACTGACTCACTGAACAGTATCCCGAGCATAGGAAACCTCAAAGCCCACCCCCACAGTAACACAACTTCCTCCAACAAGGTCATACCCACTCCAACAAGCTACACCTCCCAATAGTGCTACTCCCTATGAGATTATGGGGGCCAATTACATTCAAACTACCACAGCAGCTGAGAATTCTGGTTCGCCTATGTCTATTTCCCAAGTGCCTAGATTACAGGTATGTGCCACTGTCCGGGTTTATGTAGCAATGTAGACTGAATCCAGGCTTTGTGCATGTTAACAAAGCACTCTAGGAACTGAGCTACTGTCTCAGCCCAGATCCTCAATTTTTAATGTCATTAGTATATGTCTGACAAGCCATGCCTGCTTTCTAAGAGAGTTTGCTATGAGAGAATATGTGATTTTGCCTTAGTAGATATTTGCAGAAAACAACTTATGACAATCTAAGATGGTGACTGACATTTGACCAGGCATATAGAAAACAGACCAACAGGAAATATTAGCAAAACTTCAGCATTAGATGTTAATCGGAAAATCATTTTAACTATTGTGCTTGGTCAAATTGGGCGGTGGTTGCACACACCTTTAACCCCAGCACTCGGGAGGCAGAGGCAGGCAGATCTTTATGGTTCCAGGCCACCCTGATCTACAGAGAAAGTTCTAGGACAGCCAGAGCTACACAGAGAGACCCTGTCTAGAAAATACAAAACTCCAAACAAAACAAAAACCTATTGTGCTCTGCTGTCTTTTGATACAACACTCTTTCTCTTACACACACACACACACACACACACACACACACACACACACGTATGTATGTGTATCTCACTGTACTAAACTGATTATAAAGCAGCAAAATCTATTAAGGTGTACTTTTTTGTTGTTTTTTTCTTTTGCCTTCAGCTCATCACTTTGCCTTGGGAACTTGATAGGACAGACAAAGAATTTTGTGATTGGCCAGAAAGGCTGGAAAAAAAAAATCAACTTTGAAAGATGACTGGTATGTAGGTTTCAAAAGATGAGGAGACAACTTTTCAGGAAGGAAGTATAATATTAACAAAAGTTCATTCCCTTGAGTACCTTTTGAGCATGCCAGCTAAAGACTTTGTCGCAAATGTAATGGAGTAACTCTGGGATGACACTGCCTTATATTTTCTTCCCAATTATAGAAGATCTCAGGCTTAGGTGTAACTGCCACCAGGAAGGAAGAAAAGAAAATGGAAGAGGAGAAAGAGAGTGAGACAGGCAGAAAACTTGGCCATCTGTTACCATGATTCTGCTTATCAATAAAAGAGATGGAGGTCAAAAGAACTCAAAGAACTTACAAATCCTAATGTTTCTTTCCTCTTTATGTCAAATGAAAAATATATGGGATAGCTAAGTGCATAAAACATGCTTGGACTCTGAGAGACTTTTCAGGGCTCGCCACTTTGCTGGTTTCTCCTGATTAACTGCTGTCCCTGCCTTGCCTGTGCTCCCGGGCAGGTTACCTGACTGGTCCATGTTTGCCAAGGGCAACACAACAGCAGGGAGAGAGGATCAATAAGGAACTCCAGCGCTAAGGCAAGCAGCTCCAGAAGCCAAGCGTTTCAGACCCAGGCCTTGGCCACCCGTGGCCTCCCGTCCAGCGTGCCCCGCGCCCCGACGCCCCTGACGGTGCTCGCTATTCACCTGTAGCGCCCGCAGCGAACGCGGCGGCCTTCACTAAGCACTTCATCTCGTGAAACATCACGCTGGCACAGCGACCTAGCAGGGCAGACTGGACTAGGGAAGCCGCCAGGGGTCGGGGCCTGAAGCCTGGGGGCGTGTTTAAAGCTGAAGTGGGCGTGGAAAACAGGATCGGGGCGGGGCGCGAGTCCAGGGGCGGGAACACCCTGT